TCTCTCTCTCTCTCTCTCTCGTATTTCCCTTTTAATGAATGTACATCTTAGATTTCGAAACTCGACAATTCTTAATTTTAAAAGATAATTAGAAATAAGAAAAAGTAAAGAACCTTCGCTGTGCCAATTAAAACTAATGTACTAGCATTAACGTTAAAAATACACAAACTTTCTCTCTGGATGGTTTAATATAAAAATACTAACTGTCCATCCATTCACGTATGAAAAAGTATTTTCAAAACTGAATTTTATATAATTTTATATGAAAGGCAGAAGAGTGTATTTTCTTTTTTTTTAAAAAAATAATTGGATTCCACACAACCTACGTATTCATACATTGTGATACGTAACAGTAAAGATAAAAATGCAAGATGAAATTCACTTTTCCAAATATTTTTTACATATTTTAAAATATAAAAAAATATGGAAAAGAAGCTTTTAAGAAAAGGATTAAAATAATTCTAATTTCTATGCAAATTAAAAATTTTAAATTCTCATTCGAATTCAATTTACAAATTCAATTAACTTGCAACTGTTAAAGACTTATCAGATCCACAATAATCTATTGATAATCTTAAAAAAACTTTGCAAAATTTAGAATATACGTTTATTTAAATTATTATCTCGATTAAAAAAGGAATTTTTTAAATTCTTTCAACAACAAATTTGAATAAAGTTATTTTAATCCCACTCGAATCGAGTAATCTTATATTTTTTAAACGATCTCTCTTCGATACTCTGAATTTCGAGAATTTCACTTGAAACGATATTAAAAATAAAACATATTCCATCCTACATTAAATAGAAATATATTTTCGTATCGGAGAAATGGATCCTTCTCGTGGAAATTCGTTTTGTTACACTCTACCACTCTGCTCTCATTCGTTGAAGTTTCCAGTAATATGAAACCCCGGAGTTGATCTCTCTGAAGAGACATCGTTGAAATTTCCTCAAAAAAAAAAAATATATCATCGTTCAACGTGATAAATTTTAATAATAATTTTAAACGACAAAATTAAACCGAATAAATTTTTATATTTAAAAATTTTTCATTGTCGAAATAAATAAAGATAACGTAACTATCAATCAAATAGCAATTAATTATCAATTAATTCAATAATTTATATTTTCATATTATTATTTCTTCGTTTCTTTTTACTCGTCAAAAAAGAAAAAAAAAAATTCACAAAAGAATCACAGTGTCACAAAAATTCAATTACTCCTTATTTACAATCCTGATTCCACCTCACGCACAAAATTCGCAGAAAATGTTCATTGTCTAGCTCGATTGCGCGGTTTACCATTCAATGAACTTACAGGAGCGTGAAACAAAGTTGTCTTCTTTCAATCGGCCCGATTTAATCAGCTTGGAAATTGCACCGCGGCAAAAGACCTCCGTGCACCTCCGGAATTTCTCACATTAGTCGTTCGTGCCTCGACTATCTCATGATTTATAGTCGTTCCTCTTAACCCGTGCTTTCATAGTTAAGAATCAAAGTGTAATAAAATTGTAATTATGTATTTTTATTTATATATAAACATTTATACTTAAACAAGATGGAATTTTTTCGTAAGTCGTGAGAATTTTAATTATTTAATTCGTTTAATTAAACTTTTAAAATTGAGGTTGAGGTCAATCTGTATTATTAACAAAAAAAAAAAAAAAAAAAAGAAAAGAAAAGAAATAGAGAAACTGTAAGCGGTAAATGAAATGAAATTATTACAGAGTTTTAATTAACGAATTTATAAGTTTTGAGTAATGAACCGTGATCGTCAAAAGTTTTCAAAAGCTTCAGGTTGAGAGATGGAGACAGAAATAGAGACAGAGATAGAGCTATTTCGTCGCATTTCGTTCGAACTTGAATCGCTTGTAATTTAATAATTATAATAAGAACTGACTCTTCAAAAGATGTTTCACAATTAACGCTATTTCAAAAAAAAAAAAAAAAAGAAATTACACGAACATTTTCCGTCGAATTAGAAATATTTCACGAATATCTCTTACAAGAAATTCGTTTTTAATTTTTTGAAATAGATCATGAAATAGCATCAGTTTTTGAACGAACGATTATATCTTGCTAATAGTACAATATAATCTCCATTATCTGAAAATCAAATGTCTTTTTCTAATGAGAAGAAATCAAATCAAGAATCTCCATTGTATCATCATTTCAGTGAATTCTTCCAACGATATCTTTCTCATCATAACTTTTATCATATTGGATCCAATTTCTATGATATTCCATCGCATTCCATTTGTCTTGAGCAACGTTCCGTTCGTTAATTTCTTCAATTTCACGGAGCAAAAATTTTCTCTGATGCATCATTACATCATTGATATAAGTGAAAATATTACACAGATTTCTCCACAAAATCTTCAGATATTAAAATATTCGGGGGACGAGAAAATTAAACTTCATCATTAACTAATTTGTATCTGCAAAAAAAAATATATATATATAATCAATATTATTCAAATGTCTTCTCTCGAATTTCGAAACACTAAACA